CTCTCAAAAGATTACCATGAACTCGAGCGAAAGAGCTCTCAAGGCAAAGGTGAGAGGCTCCAGCAAGAGGAAGATAAGAAAAACAACACTTGACAGGTCACTTAGCAATTCGAAGAGCGATGATTGCACTATGCGTCCATGACTGCCGCCAGCACCGGATTCGACGAATCCCTCCTCTTTACTCGACTTGCTCACGTAACAAGGAGATCCAATAAATGAAGATAGAAGCACCCATATCGTCAGAACAAGCACGAACTTCGTGAAGAAATGGCTGGTGCTCATATGTACCTTCCCTTAAAAGCATCGCATGCGAGGCAACCAACTGTCTGATCCACTCACGAGCACGATCGGCAAGGCACGAACGCCGGGCGCAACGCCAAAGCGCTGCTGTTCCGACATCGCCAACAACAAGCGTAGCAGAGGAACCTTAGCCACAAAATCTCACGCGAGACCGTAAGAGTTGCCATCGCAGCCATCAGTTAAGATGCTCCGTGGGCGCTGGGCAGAAAGAAAAGTGGACTTGTCCGAAGAGTTGGGGGGCGGAAAGATACGGATACGTGTTGTCCCCGGACCTCTCTTGGGGTGCGTTCTGACCAGAACTTCGAGGCGAATCCAGCGGTGACAACGAGGACTCCCCAGGAGGACCAGGAAAAGCCGAAAACGAAGGGGGACAACACGTATCCGTATATTTTTCTCCCCAGACCTTAAGAGTTGCCATCGCAGCCATCAGTTAGATGCTCCGTGGGCGCTGGGCAGAAAGAAAAGTGGACTTGTCCGAAGATCGGGTCGGGCGAAAGGGGGGGATAGCAAAGGGGGGGTTTGAGAATCAGCTCACGTAGCTGATTTTCCCGGCGCCTCCCGGCGCCGGAGGCGCCTATGTATCGAGGAATGGGCCCCTCGGTGAGGCCGAAACCAGCTGCATGCAGCAAATTTCGTAACCCCCCCTTTCCCAATCCCCCCTTTCGCCCGACCCGAGAAGAGCGGGAGGAAAGCTGGGGGGACAAACCGCGCACAAACAGGACACACGGCACGAGTCTGAGAGCGCGGCGGAGGCGCAGGGCCGGGAGCCGGAAGAGCCGGACAAGCGGGACCCCGAGCCAGAGGAGGGAAGCTGCTCCTCCTCCTCCTCCTCCTCCTCCTCCTCCTCTCCTCCTCCTCCTCCTCCTCCTCCTCCTCCTCCCCTCCCCCTCCCCCTTCCTTCCTCCTCCTCCTCCTCCTCCTCCTCCTCCTCTCCTCCTCCTCCTCCTCCTCCTCCCTCCTCCTCCTCCTCCTCTCCTCCTCTCCTCCTCCTCCTCCTCCTCCTCCTCCCCTCCCCCCCTCCCCCTCCCCCTCCCCCTCCCCCTCCTCCTCCTCCTCCTCCTCCTCCTCCCTCCTCCTCCTCCTCCTCCTCCTCCTCCTCCTCCTCCTCCTCCTCCTCCTCCTCCTCCTCCCAGAGTTGAAGGATGGTGGCCAGTATTTGAATGGGCCAAGGGACACGCAAATAAATAGGCACTGGTCCCAAGACCCCCCCCCCGTATTTCACATATTCCTGGGATGTCATACAGCTGGAAGCGGGACTGGAGGACGGCCAGAGTCGGAAGGATGGCGGGAGAGGAGGCAATTCACTGCCGAAAGTTTTTAAGGATGAGCGGATGGTGCAGCCAGCCTGTGCTGGGGCGACCTGGCAGCGGACGCGGAGTGGCGTCACGACCACACAAGTAAATAGACACACGTCCCTAGATCCCCCATAACTCAAACTCTTCATGGGTGCTTCTCTTCCCCTCCACTTCACAAATGTTCGATATCTTCCTGGGAATCAGCGACTCCTTGTGTCTGTGTAGTTTTTCCCCCCTGATGGTTGGGGGCACGAAATGGAATCCGGAAAGGGAGCCGGAATCGAAGGGGGGCCGGAGGCGGAAACGTGATAGCAAGAGTCGGACAGAAAAGTGCGTGCGCTCAATTGTTATGCCTGCCCAGGTTCGCTCTACATACCCATTGAAAACGCGCTACATGTGACCACGCCATCCAACAATCTCTTTTTTGGGTCGGCGTTTGCGCCACCGCGCGCCTGGGCGCGGGTACCCCGACGGGCCCCACCACGTGACCCGAACGGTCCGTTCGGGCGACTGCGCCCGAACGACCTTCTGGAACCGTTTCCATGTTAAGGCTCACTGAGACAACCCCCCATCGCCACAAAGGGGGCGTCACACGTGCGTCGGCCCTCCGAAGAGGCCAAACGTCCTCGCGAACACGCACTTCGCCCTTGCAAGGGGGTCGTCCTCAGGTGACTTCGTCGCCCGCGTGGCGGGCACCCACGTGCGTCGCACGTGCGTCGGCCGCCGAAAAACCCGACCGTCCTTGAGAATACGCACGTCGCCCTCGCAAGGGGGGCCCTCTGGTAAGTGCGTCGCCCGCGTGGCGGGATACCACGTGCGTCGCACGTGCGTCGGCCCTCCGAAGAGGCCAGCCGTCCTCGCGAACACGCACGTCGCCCTCGCAAGGGGGATCCTCTGGTAAGTGCGTCGCCCGCTGCGCGGGCACTGACGAGCGTCGCACGGTCGCACGTGCGTCGGCCCTCCGAAGAGGCCGGCCGTCCTCGCGAATACGTACGTCGCCCTCGCGAAGGGGGACCCTCTGGTGAGAGAGAACGCGTTTCACGGGCGCTTGCCTGGGGAAAATTCGGCGGTGCGTTTCGAACCGGGGCCGGGGGGTGGGCCCCCCCCAACACTCGGCGCCGTCGATCAAAACCAGCTGGACCCCCCTCCCCGCCAAACCCTCCCCCTCCCGAACCCCCCCCTCCCAGGAGGGGGTCCAAACCCCCCCCCCCTCGGCGCCGGCGCTGGCGCTGGCGGCCGCCAGCAGCGTTCACGACGGGGACGCAACGACGAAGACCAGAGGCAACCCAGGGGGGGGTTTTGACCCCCCCCCCACCCCCTGGCGCCACGGGGGGGGGTTCGACCCCCCCCCCGTCCTTCCGCCCGCGCCGGCGCTGGTAGCGGCCAGCACCGCCGGCGCTGGCGCCGGCGACGCCGGGACGCATCGACACTTACCACCACTACCACCACCACCACCACCACCGCCTCAACCCACCACCACCACCGCCACCACCAACAGCACCACACACACCCACCACACCACCACAGCCCACCCCCACCACCACAACCACCACCACAACTCACCATCACCACCACCACCACCACCACACAAACCACCCACTACACCCACCGCCACCACCACAATCTACCACACCACCACCACCACCACCGCCACAACCACCACCACTACCAGCAGCACAACCCACCACCACCACACCAACCACCACACCACCACCACACCCACCACCACCACCGCCACCACCACCACCACCACAACAAACATCCACAAACCACCGCCACCACCACAACCCACCACTACAAAACACCACCACACCACCACCAAACCACCACCACCACCACTACAACCCACCACCACCACCACCACCACAAACCACCACCACACCACCACCAAACCACCACCAAACCACCACCACCACCACCACCACCACCCACCGCTACAACCACCACCACCATCGCAACAAACCACCACACCACCACCACCACCATCGCCACCACCACCACCACAACCCACCACCACCACCACCACCGTCGTCCTCGTCGACGCTCCCCGCCACCGCCGCCCGCCGCCGCAGGCGCCAGCGCCGGCCCAAAAATGGAAATCGTCGTCCCCGCCGCCCTCGCCAGCTGCCGCCGACACAAGCGCCGGCCCGAGGAGAGGGGAAGCAGAGGAGGGAGGGGAGGGGGGGAAGTTCGAACACCCCCCCCCGTCACGGGAGTGGGGGGGGTCGAACCCCCCCCTTTCCATCCAGGGGGGGGAGGGGGTACGGTTTCAAACGCCCCCCCTCGAAGCGACCACAGATCGCGCTCTTTCTCTGGCGAGTGCGTCGCCCGCTTGGCGGGCACTGACGTGCGTCGCACGTGCGTCGGCCCTCCGAAGAGGCCGACCGTCCTCGCGAACACGCACGTCGGTCTCGCAAGGGGGGCCCTCTGGTGAGTGCGTCGCCCGCGTGGCGGGCACCCACGATGGGGATCGCCCGCGCGTCGCCCGCTTGACGCCCCGAGGTGCGATGCCTCAGCTCCGCGTCAGGCTGCTGGGCAGCAACGGGCACCCGAGGGCCACGACCTTTCGGGCGCGGGCGCGCCCGCCCCCCATCGCGAGGGAGCAGCAGAGGTGGAGCTCGCCGCGGGTGAAACTCGCGCCGCCTGGCCATCGCCAAGGGCCGCGCAGGCGCGACCATTGAAGGGAAGGTGACTACCGTCGGGAACTTTTGCGTAGTGTATCACCGCGGGGGCCCCCGCGACACGGTGTGCCCTGCGGGGGGATGTCGAGTCGCTCCGCTCCGAGGGGCGGGAGGCTCGGGGAAGCTCGAGACATTGACGCCTCGGGGCCTCGAGGTGGATAAGTGTCGCACCGAAGCGTGGTGGGCTCTGACTGGCGGAGCGGCACGCTAGGAGAAGGTTCCCGACCGTAGCTCCATCGGCGAACTCACCCAGTGGCCGCCACGCGCCAAACCCCTCGGATCGCGACGGACGCCGCAGCCCGGGGGAGACCCAAGACCCAAGACAACCCCCCGCAGGGGGCAGCCTGCCCGCGGACGTGGAACTCGCCGCCGCCTGCGCCTCGGGATCGCCGACGACCGTGGGCAGGGCGGTGCGGATATACGGCAGGCTCGTGCCGCGGCGACCCTTGCGCTGGTTCTCTGCGGGCCCTTCAGTCCTTCAACCACTTGAGCGATCGGCGGGGTTCTGGTCGCCCGATCGTGCCACCTTGGAAGATTCTGGGCCACCCTTATGTCGGGCGTGTCCCCCTACAGGGGGATTTTCGACGAAAAACAAAAAATACCCCAAACATACCCCCAAAAGGTCAAAAAATACTATAAAAATAGTCCCCCGACTATTTTTGGACTCTTGTTTGACGATTTGGGGGGTACTTGTATTTTTCGTCGAAAATCCCCCTGTAGTCGGGAGCGGCCAAGCGGGGGGTGTCCAAGAGGGGGGGGTGCAAATCATGACCGGCGGCACGTGCGCGGCCTAGCGGGGGGGCCAGGGACGCAACAAACTGAGAAGAGGCGCCACGAAATCTGGCGAGATATCATGGCCCACGCCATGATATCCACCCCCTCCTATTTGGACACCCGAAATGGGTACCGAAAGAATGGGTACAATGCCCAACAGCAAATGTTGTCCCAAACCATCAGCGGCCGCTGTTGGGCAGGCGTCCTTCTGTCTCAAATGGACACAGGCCGCGGCGGCGCGGACAGCGAGTCCTGTTCAAAATGAACCAGATCCGCTGTTGGGCATGGTACCCATTCCGTGCAGGAGGAGGAGGAGGAAGAGGAGAAGGAGGAGGAGGAGGAGGAGGCGGAGGAGGAGGAGGAGGAGGAGGTCATCACCCCCATCCTAGTCATCACCGCCTCTTTTCCGCCCCCGACTGCAGGGGGACCGGCCCGACTTCTGGCCACCCGCGGCGCTCCCCCCTGCGACGCCCGCGCCGGCGTCTCCGCCGCGCCGGCACGACGCGACAGCCTGCCGCACTCGAAGAAGGCGGGCGCGCGCTCGCGCGGCCCTCCACCAAGCAGGCCCAGGCCTCGTCCTCCTCCTCCTCCTCCTCCTCCTCCTCCTCCTCCTCCTCCTCCTCGACCTCGTCCTCCTCCTCCTCCTCCTCCTCCTCCTCCTCGTCCTCCTCCCTCCTCCTCCTCCTCCTCCTCCTCCTCCTCCTCCTCCTCCTCCTCGTCCTCCTCCTCCTCCTCCTCCTCCTCCTCTTCCTCCTCCACATCCTCATCCTCAATCCTCATCAGCATCATCACCACCACCACCACCACCATCATCATCATCATCAACCATCATCATCATCATCATCATCATCATCATCATCATCATCAGCATCATCATCATCATCATCAGCAGCAGCAGCAAGCATCATCACATCATCATAATCATCATCATAACCAGAACATCATCATCATCATCGATCATCATCATCATCATCATCATCATCATCATCATCATCATCATCATCATCATCATCATCATCATCATCATCATCATCATCATCATCATCATCATCATCATCATCATCATCATCATCATCATCATCATCATCATCATCATCATCATCATCATCATCATCATCATCATCAACATCATGATCATCATCATGATCATCATTGTCATCAGCATCGTCACCATCATCATCAGCATCACCATCATGACAGCCACCACCATCATCATCATCATCATCATCATCATCATCGTCATCAGCATCATCAGCATCATCATCATCAGCAGCAGCATCCCCATCATCAACATCACCATCATCAGCAGCAGCATCAGCCTCAGCATCAGCATCATCAGCCTCATCATTTGCAGCATCATCGTCATCATCAGCAGCATCACTGTCATCAGTATCATCATCACCAGCATCATCAGCATCATCATGAGCATCAACCTCATTATCAGCATCAGCCTCACCATCATCATCAGCATCAGCATCATCGTCATCATCCTCAGCATCAGCATCAGCAGCATCAGTATAATCAGCATGATCAGCAGCATGCATGAGCATAATCATCAGCATCACCACCATCAGTAGCATCATCATTAGCATCGTCATCGTCATCAGCATCATCATCATCATCTCCATCAGCATCAAAAGCATCAGCAGCATCATCAGCATCAGCGGCATCATCATCAGCAGCAGCATCAGCATCATCGTCAGCATCAGCATCTGCATCATCATCAGCAGTTGCTTCAGCAGCATCATCAGCAGCATCTGCATCGTCATCATCACTATTGCAACATCATCGTCATCGTAGTCATCATCAACATCATCATCAGCATCATCATCGTCATCATGATCCTCATCATCAGCATCAGAATTAGTCATCATCTTCATCCACATCCTCATGCTCATCCTCATCTTCATCCTCGACTTCATCCTCCTCATTCCCCCTGACACCCAACACCCACAGCCCACTGCTCCCTCCGCCCTCTGCCCATTCACCGACGGGAGGCACATTGCCGAGTCGTTCCATCTCAGCGCTGGTGTAGATGCCACCATCTCCAGCACCCCGTCGCCTGCAGCAGGAAAGGGTATCAGGACTGGGCAACGAGGGAAGAAGGCTTGGAGGGGAGGCATCGGCCTGGGGACGGGGACAAGGAAATGAGAGGAGGAGAGGAGGAGGAGGAGGACGACGACGAGGAGGAGGAGGAGGAGGAGGAGAAGGAGGAGGAGGAGGTGGAGGAGGGGGAGGAGGAGGAGGAGGAGGAGGAGGAGCAGGAGGAGGAGGAGCAGGAGGAGGAGGAGAAGGAGAAGGAGGAGGCGGAGGAGGAGGAGAAGGGGAAGGGGGAGGAGGAGGAAGAGGATCGGGAGAAGGAGGAGGAGGAGGAGGAGGCGGAGGAGGAGGAGGGGGAGAGGAGGAGGTGGGTGAGGGGACAAGAGGGGTGGTGAAACGGGGGGATCGAGAGACGGGAGCGCGTAACAAGAAAAGCAAGAGAAAACTTCGACTTGGTCGCCTGTACGTCAAGTAGCTCAGGGCGGCGTTGTTCATGAGATCGATCACCTTCCCCTCCCGGCATGGCCTCTACATGGCCTCTACCCTTCTCGTTTTCCTCGACGACCTCCTACGCTTCCGGATCAGCGCAGTCTCCGACTAGATGTCCATCATCGGCTGCGCCTCCCCGAGAGCTCCCAGAGGGGCAGCCGTATCGCCCCGAGCGCCCTTCTCCTCGAAGGGGCTGCATGAGCGAGCCAATTGCTGCGAGCAAACGTCGTGACTGCATCGGCCCTGGCTTCTGACACCGTGTGGATCGTCCAACCACGGACGACCGCGGCTTCCCGATAGCGCGGGCCGCTCGACGTTGGCCGGTTCAGGGCACCGGCGGAGTTCAGCCTCGAACGCCCGCGCTGGCGTCGCCGCCGCGTCGACACGACACGAGCCTGCCGTGCAGTCCAAGACCCGCGCCTGTTCTCGCAGGGGCAGGGGCAGCGGTCCCGCCCCCAACCGCTCGCTGTGCGAACCCCCTCCTGCCATTCCCTCCCGCACCTTGCCGTTCACCCGACCTGACGCTGACACTGCGGGCGGGTCCAGATCCGAGCCTTGGCGTTCGTCCGCCCGCCTCCTCCTCCTCCTCCTCATCGTCCTCCTCATCCTCATCATCATCCTCCTTGTCCTCCTCCTCCTCGTCCTCCTCCTCCTCCTCCTCCTCCTCCTCCGTCTCCTCCTCCTCCTCCTCCTCCACCTCATCCTCCTCATCCTCCGTCTTCTCCTCCTCATCCCTCCTACCCCTCCTCCTCCCACACTCTCTCTCATCCCTCAATCGCCCATCCCCCTCTTTTCACCCCCCACCCTCCACCTCCTCCACCGCACTCCCCTCCTCCTTCCTCCTCCTCCTCTCCTCCACCCTCCTCTCCTACCTCCTTCATCCTCCCTCCTCCACTCTTCCTCCCCTCCTCCTTCCCACGTCTCTCCTTCTCTGTCTCTTTCTCTTTCCTCTTTCTCTTTCCCTGTTCTCTCACTCCTCTCTCTCTCACTCTCTCCTCTCAATCCCTCAACTCGTCCATTCCCCCTCCTTTTCACCATCCCACCATCCACCTCCTGCCACCACACTCCCCTCCCCTCCTCATCCCCTCACTCCCGATCCTGCTCCTCCTCCTCCTCATCATCATCCTTCCCCTCATGATCATCATCAGCATCATCAGCATCATCATCATCATCATCAGCAGCAGCAGCATCATCATCATCATCCTCCTCCTCATCCATCATCAGCATCATCATCATCAGCATCATCATCATCATCCTCATCATCATCAGCATCATCCTCATCCTCATCATCAGCATCAGCATCATCATCATCATCATCATCATCATCATCATCATCATCATCATCATCATCATCATCATCATCATCATCATCATCATTAGCAGCATCATCATCATCAGCAGCAACATCATCTGCATCAGCATCAGCAGTATCATCATCAGCAGCAGCAGCCTCATCCGCATCCTCATCCTCATCCTCATCATCATCAACAGTAGCAGCATCATCATCAGCAGCAGCAGCATCATCCTCATCAGCATCATCAGCATCATCATAATCATCGTAAGTATCGTCGTCATCATCATCAGCATCACCATCATCGTCATCAGCATCGTCATCATCAGCATCATCAGCAACGTCATCATCATCATCATCATCATCATCATCAGCATCAGCATCATCATAATCATCATCATTGTCATCATTATCATCATCATCATCATCATCATCATCATCATCATCATCATCATCATCATCATCATCATCATCATCATCATCATCGTCATCAGCATCGTCATCAGCAGCGTAACCATCAGCATCATCATCCTCAGCATGAGCATCATCATCGTTATCGGCATCATCATCATCAGCATCGGCATCAACATCAGCAGCATCAGCAGCAGCATCATAATGAGCATCGGCATCATCATCGTCATCAGCAGCAGCATCATCAGCAGAAGCAGCAAGCAGCAGCAGCAGCAGCATCTTCATCATCAGAAGCATCACCACCACCATCATCAGCATCACCATCAGCAGCATAATTATTTCTTACGCACCATCATCATCATCAGCAGCAGCATCATCATCCTCAACAGCATCGTCACCATCATCATCACCACCACAAACAACATCAGCATCACCATCATCAGCATCAGCATCACCATCATCAGCATCATCAGCATAATCGTCATCATCATAATCAGCAGCAGCATCACCACAAACGTCACCGCCACAAGCGTCATCAATACCACAATCATCGCCATCATCATCATCATCATCATCATCAGCATCAGCATCATCATCAGCAGCAGCATCATCATGAGCATCATCAGCATCAGCATCATCATCAACATCAACATCAGCAGCATCATGACCGTTAGCATCAGCATCAGTATCATCAACAGCATCATCGTCATCAGCATCACCATCGTCATCAGCATCATCACCAGCATCAGCATCATCATCAGCAGCAGCATCAGCATCAGCATCAGCATCATCATCGTCATCAGCAGCATCATCATCAGCAGCAGCAAACAGCAGCAGCAGCATCAGCATCATCATCAGCATCATCAGCATCACCACCACAATAATCACCATCATCATCATCAGCCTCGACAACATCATCATAACCATCATCAGCAGCAGCAGCAGTATCGTCCGCAGCATCATCATCATCAGCAGCATCATCATCCTCAGCAGCATCATCATCACCACCATCATAAACGACATCCTCATCACCATCATCAGCAGCATCATCTTCGTCATCATCAGCAGCAGCATCATCATCACAAACGCCACCGCCGCCAGCACCATCAATACCACCATTATCACCATCATCATCAGCAGCATCATCAGCAGCATCATCATCAGCACCAGAATCAGCGTCATCATCATCCACGTTCGCGACAGGGAACCGAATGGACAAGACATGCGCGGCGGTGCTCCACGGCATAAGCACATGTACGCTCGCGCGATAGCCACGAACACCCCCACGCGTGCCAATCAAGATGCCACCGCCCCCAGCGAAAGTACAGCACCGAGTGCGGAGACTCCAACCACACGATCAGCTCAGGGTTCGTCGCCTGCGCTACCTCCCTCCCAGGACTGCTTGCTCGCGAACTGGCCGTCCGGGCTGGTCATGGTGCTGCAGGCCGCATCGCCCCACCGGCAGCCCAAGGAGGGGCCCTATGATGATGGACCTCGCGTGGATGCAATGCCACTGCAAGGCTGGAGGGGCCAACGGAGCCGCTCGACGACATCCCACGCCGAGGAGTCCTTCGTGTGTCAGCAGCCGTCCTGGAAGCCGCTGGCGCAGAGCACGGCCGACTCAGCCCTGGCAGCCACAGGCGGCAGACCAATGTCGAGAAGCAGAAGGGCGGCGCTAACGGCGAGGAGGCGCAGGCTGCGCGTGCTCAGGGGTACCCGATGGGCGCCAGCACTAAAGCATGGCCGTGATCGGCCGTTGGGCCCTAGCGAGGCTGTAAGAGTGCCGCCCCCTTCCCCTCCTCCTCCTCCTCCTCCTCCTCCTCATCCTCCTCCTCCTCCTCCTCCTCCTCCTCCTCCTCCTCCTCCTCCTCATCATCATCATCATCATCATCATCAGCAGCAGCATTATCATCATCATCGTCCATCATCTCATCAGCAGCATCATCATCTCAACATCATCATCAGCATCATCAGCCTCATCACATCAATCATCACAGCAGCATCAATCATCAGCATCAGCATCACATCATCATCATCACATCATCATCATCATCATCATCATCACATCATCATCATCATCATCATCATCATCATCATCATCTCACATCATCCCTCCTCCTCCTCCTCCTCCTCCTCCTCCATCCTCCTCCTCCTCCTCCTGCTCCTCCTCCCTCCTCCTCCTCCTCCTCTCCTCCCTCCTCCTCCTCCTCCTTCCCCTCCCCCTCTCCCCTCCTCCTCCTCCTCCCTCCTCCTCCTCCCCTCCTCCTCCTCCTTCCTCCTCCTCTCCTCCTCTTCCTCTCTCCTCCTCCTCCTCCTCCTCCTCCTCCTCCTCCCCTCTCCTCTTCTCCTCCTCCTCCTCCTCCTCCTCCTCCTCCTCCCTCTCATCCTCCTCCTCCTCCTCCTCCTCCTCCTCCTCCTCCTCCTCCTCCACCTCTCCTCCTCCTCCTCCTCCTCCTCCTCCTCCCTATGCTGCCAAAGCATGGGATGGTGGGTAGGCCACGAAGCCTCTGCGTGGGGACTCGCGCAGCGCCGACAGGACAGATGCCGTGGCCACGACGAGTGACCTAACGCCGTGTGCGTCGCCCCCCTGCCTTGCCATCGCTCGGGCGCCCGTTTGACTACCTACCAGACCACCCCAACCCAACCCGAAGACCCGAACTTCGGGGTTTGGGGGGGGGGGGTTAGGGCGCCATATGTGCTTCCTCCATGTTCCCCGATGCCCCCCCACTAGAAATGGAGGGCAGATCGGGGCCCTCGGTTTGGGTTGGGGTGGGTTGGTGGGCGGTGACCGTCCCCCGTGCGTGTGTCGGTTCAGGCAAATTTGCCGTTCATAAGATTCGGGGAACGAAGAATGACATAAACAGAACAACCCGGAGGTCCGCGCGGATTTCTCGGCTCGGCGCTGGGCCCCCCTCCCTGGCGCGCGGAGCGCGCCAGGGGCGGCGCCGGAGGCGCCGCCAGGGTGGTCCAGCGCGGGTCCGAGAAATCCGCGCGGACCTCAAAATGTTTCTGTGTGTCTGGGGGGCAAATGCGAGACCTACCCCACCCTAACCCCCGAAAATCGTGGGGGGCCCCCCTTGGGGGTCTGTCCCATGCCACCATTGCTGCCCCCTTCCGATGATGACTGCAGTGGTCGGGCCTGCTGCGGAGGCTCGGTGGTCAAACCAATCCGTCAGTGTCTTCACCATTTTTAAAAACTGTCGTTGCTCCGCCCCGTTC